TGGCTGTATATGTATAGGTGTGTACTTGTGTATGTGTGTGCTTATGTATATGCATGTAGGTGTATAGATGTGTGTGAGCATTTGTATATATGTGTTTATGCATGTGACTGTATATGTATGTGTTTATGCGTGTGCACGCATATGCATGTATGTATACAGATATGCATGTTTGTGTGTTTAGGTGTGTGCATTTATTTAGTTCATGCATATGTATGAATATAGGTGTGTGTGTGTATGTATGTGTGTGTATGTGTGTGTGTATGTGTGTGTGTATGTGTGTGTATGTGTGTGTGTATGTGTGTGTGTATGTGTGTGTGTGTATGTGTGTGTATGTGTGTGTATGTGTGTATGTGTGTGTGTATGTGTGTGTGTATATGTGTGTGTGTATGTGTGTGTTTGTGTGTATGTGTGTGTGTATGTGTGTGTGTGTGTATGTGTGTGTGTGTATGTGTGTGTGTATGTGTGTGTGTGTGTATGTGTGTGTGTGTGTGTGTGTGTGTGTGTGTGTGTCAAAAGACACAGAACTGTTCTGCTGACTTCCTTCTGTTGCTGGACTGCTTGCTGGTTTGACTTTCAGGACTCATTTTGACTGACTCTTGACTCTTGGTCCTGTAGATGTCTTGTATCATTTACTCTATTTCTTTCTTTTAACTTTTCACTTCTTCCTGTATAGGGGTCCTATTGCTCTGGTAAACACCATGGCCACAGCAATTTAGGGAGGAAAGGGTCTACTGCAGCTTACAACTCTTGTGCCCACCTCCTTTATGAAGGAAGTCAGGGCAGGCAGGCACTCCAGACAGGAACCTGTAGGCAGAAACTGAAGCAGAGGCTATCAGTGGTGCCACCTGCAGGCTTTCTCCCCATGACTTTTTCCAGACAGGGCTTCTCTGTGCAGCTTTGGCTGTCTTGGAACTCACTCTGAAGACCAGGCTGGCCTCGAGCTCACAGAGATCCGCCTGCCTCTGCCTCCCGAGTGCTGGAATTGAAGGCATGCACCACCACCGCCTGGCCCAGCCTGCTTTTTGATACTATCCCAGACTGCCTGCCCAGACAGCCTGGAGCACCACTCACATCAATAGTTAATCAAGAAAATCAACACAGGCAAATGACTCTAGCCTATGTTAAAATGACATAAAATGAGCCAGTACATTGATATTAGAGAAATCGGAGTTATTCTGAAAAGATTTTAATTTTTTTCTTCATAGCCTCAGTTTTGAGTAAGCACATTAAAAAAACCCCATTCATCTGCATTGCTACTTCTTACTTGATGCTCTGTGTTAAGTAAGATGAGAAACATGAACGCTTAAGGAAAAAATTCAGCGTGCAACTGGTCTTAAACACCCAGCATCAAACATTTTTCTAGAGTTTGTTTAAATAAGAAATATGGGTTCCAGCCGGTGATGGCACATACCTTTGATCCCAGCACTCTGGGAGGCAGAGGCAGGTGGATCTCTGAGGATTCGGAGGTCTAGCCGGCCTGGTCCACAGAGTGAGTTCCAGGACAACTAGGCTATGCAGAGAAACCCTGTGTCAAACTTTTTCTTTTGGGCCCCCAACCAGCTCCCAAATCGAGACACAGAAACTTAATATTTGTTGTGAATGCTTGGCTTATCTTAGGCTCATTTCTGGCTAACTCTTTCTTTCCTCTTCCTCCTCCTTCTTGTTCCTCTCTTTCTTCTTTTTCAAGCCTAGATTCCTCCTCCTATTTATTCTTTCTTTCTGGCAGCCCACCAATCCTTTCTCTTGCCTAACTATTGGCTGTTCAGATCTTTATTAGACCAATCAGGTGCCTTAGGCAGACAAGGTGAAGCAAATGTAACACATCTTCACATAACTAACCACACATCCTTGCGTCATTCAACAGATGCAGCATAAACAAGCACAACACATCTTTATATAGTAAAAATGATACTCTATAACAAAACTCAGAAAAGAAGGAGGAGGAGGACGAGGAGAAGGATGGGCATCTTCTTTTTATTTTTTAAATTTATTTATTTATTAAAAATTTCCACCTCCTCCCCGCTTTCCTTTACCGTCCCCCTCCCCACATCCCTCTCCCTCTCTCGTCCTAAGAGCAGTCAGGGTTCCCTGCCCCATGGGAAGTGCAAAGTCTTCCCCCCTCCATCCAGGTCTATAAAAGTAAGCATCCAAACAAACCAGGCTCCCACAAAGTCATTTCATGCAGTAGAATAAAAAAGGATGGGCATCCTTCATGGCAGTCCTGGTCTTGGTCACAGAGGACCCAGCCTGAGTCTCGGTCACTGCAGGAGCATGAAGGAACCCTTCAGGAAGCTTTCCTCCAGGGAAAAGTTAGCTGGAAAGTTTCCTCACTCTGGAAGTTGTTCCTCTTTTCATTTTTTTATGGGATCTTTTGACCTTTTCAGATGTACTGAACGTCAGGACCCGAGCAGGGGCTCAGAGAAGTGCAGCCAAAGGTGAAAATGCCTTGCTTTTGGAATTCAAACTATCCCTATAGTTCTTCTTTTCCTTCCTTCCTTCCTTCCTTCCTTTCCTTCCTTCCTTCCTTTCCTTCCTTCCTTCCTTCCTTCCTCTCTTTCCCTGTCTCTCTCTCCCTTCTTCCCTCTCTTTCTTCCTTCCTTTTTTTTGGTGTCTGTTTAGAAAAGAAACTTACTTAGTAATGATAGAAGAACATCAGCAGTGCTTCTGGGGAAGCAGGCGCTATGCTGTGACCTCTGGGGAAGCAGGCGCTGTGCTGTGACCTCTGGGGAAGCAGGCGCTATGCTGTGACCTCTGGGGAAGCAGGCGCTATGCTGAGACCTCTGGGGAAGCAGGCGCTGTGCTGTGACCTCTGGGGAAGCAGGCGCTGTGCTGTGACCTCTGGGGAAGCAGGCGCTGTGCTGTGACCTCTGGGGAAGCAGGCGCTGTGCTGTGACCTCTGGGGAAGCAGGCGCTGTGCTGTGACCTCTGGGGAAGCAGGCGCTATGCTGTGACTTTAAGGTTTGGGTCTGTCCCAACTATGTCACTTCCTGCTAGATCCTCTCAAATGCCTTTGGTACCATAGATGCCGTTGCCTGCTGCTGGGATTTAGCATCATCTCTTCGGTGTCCCACCAAGGTGGTTCCTGTCAGTCTTTCTTTCCCCCATCGTTACTGCCCATTCCTTGATTCTCTTGCTTAGAACACTGTCATTTCCTCCATGATGCCACTCAGGGCTCAGGTTAATGCTGGGATTTCATATCACACTTTATATTCTGTACTGTACTCAGAAATTCGGGTGCCTGGAGATGGTGGGATGTTCATATATTGCTTGTAGTCTTCACATAATGCTTTGGGCCACTTGTTGCCCAGGCCCTCTGGTTGCTTTTGCTCTAGCGATGGGGATCGAGATGTACAGAAACCACTGTAGCACAAAGAAACAAGCTCTGTAATGGAGTGTGCGCAGTGTGCATTGGAAGCACGGGAAGGGGTTTATCAGTCTGGAAGGAGAAGTAAAAGGTTTCCAAAGTGAACAACAGAAGGAAAGAAAAGAAATTCCTTCCAACTCAAGAAAAGGCAGTTGAGCAAAAACTAATGACTGAGAATGATTGGGCTAGGAAGGGTACCCAGTGAGGAGGGAGGCACTGCCAATCATCAGTGAGGAGGGAGGTACTGCCA